AAGACGGGCGAAGGCCGCTTCGTCGTCAGGTAGCGTCTCGATACAAGCCAGCACTGTGGATTGTTCGCTCTCGAGCTCGGCACGGCGCGAGAGCTGTGGGGCTCGCGCGGCTCGGACGTAAAGCTCGTCTGGCGCGTCGTCGTTGGCGCTGCTGTGGCGACGCGACGCGTGGACCGAGACTGCACAGCTGAAGTCAAAGCCTCGGGATGAGCGCGGTGCTGGCGGCGTCGCTGGCGCTTCTCGCGTCAAGCAGGCGGCAGTGGGCTCCATGCTTGTCGGGTTGCTGTCGTTTTGGGCAATGCGACGATCACAATACATGGATCCGGATAAAACAAATCTAGCCAATCCCAATCGAGAAACATTTAGAACACACCAATCGAGCGCGATCTTTCCGGATACAAGACCATATCCAGTTGAATATAGTTTTGAGTTTTGGTGGCGCCAAGTCCCACCGTTGATCAGCGTGTCGAGGACGTCCTCACAGCGGCAGCAGGACTTGTATTGAATGACCATGCTACGATCCGATTCGAGCCTCTTGCCCAGTCTCCATATGTTGAAGGCGCCGTCATTAGCGACGAGATTCCGTGCAGGTCCAACACCAAGGCGCTGGAAAGCGATTTCGTCATGCACATAGAGCGGCTCTTGCTGTATGTCGCTCGAGTGCACAAGACATCCGGTAACAACTCAAGGCCGATGTAGCATGTATGCAGGACCAAATACTACGACGTTGGTTCTCACATTCTGCGCTACTCCTCCCTCGACGGTGCATCGTCGACTTCGATTACGAGTGGCCGTAGCGGCTCGGGGCTTCCCAGCTACGACGGCAATATGAGATACGGAATCCCATCATGCCACGTACTTGGCGTTGGATCTCGCGGAGCGAGTTCAGTAGAAACTCGCGGTGCTTTCGCGACGTGGTGTGCTCGTCTTCGCTGGGCGCAACGCTCGGAAACGACGCATGTGGCTGCTTTTTGGCCTTGGCCCTGGCCTTCTTCTCGAACGTGCTGCTCATGTCGTCGCGACCGACCAGCTTTTGCACAACCGCATATGGATTGCGCTTGGTGGTTCGGAGACTGCCCAAGGCTGGCGCTGTTGTCTTGAGCGCATCGAGCCGCGACGCGGTCTCGACCATGTGCTGCAGTGGGCGATGGAACGACTCGGAGTTGAGGTGCGACGCGGTGAGGTCCGTGAAGAAATCGTCTTCTTTCTTGACGAGCGCAGGCGCGAGGACGTTGGGGTTGGGCACCATGGCGGGCACCTGCTTCCACTCGTCGGGCAAGTACGGCACCTTTTTCAAATCGTCGCGCTTGATATCGCTCGGGAGGCTGCGCTCCATGTCGCTCAGCATCGTATGGTCGATCCGCGCAGGCAGCGTCGGCGGGTCCGTAAACGGGTACTGGGTCTTGACCGTCATCTTGGGCGCTGGTTTTGCTTTCGCGGGTTTCGGCAGCCACGCGTCGTCCGGCGGCTTGGTACTTTTGGCTTCAAAGCGCGCGTTGAGCGGTGGCACGAGCCGCTTGGGCCGCAAAATCGCAGGCGCGTGCTCCCGCACTGTATTTACTTCGAGCGCCGACGTGCTAAAGTCGGCGTACACGAGGTAGCAGTTCTCGCAGACCGGCGCCGTCTTGTAGAGAAAGACCGGGTCGGTCGCAAACCGGACAAAGTCTTCCACGGTCAAGTGCGGATGGAGATAGAGCAACACGGGTGGGATCGTCACGTCCGCCTCGGTGACGGGGCCGCTCTCGACGTCCATCTCGTTTAAAATCCCGAATCCGACGCCGCCCGCGGCTGCAATCACTGCGTCGTCCGGCGGCCATAGAACCACCGAGGCCTTGGACGCGCGGAGGTGCGTGAGGAGCTGCCGAAAGTGCTCGATCACGGCCTTGTAGCTGGCGTGGAGCATGTGAACTTGGTCAATCGCCTTGGCGCAGCTGGTGCACTTGGCGATCACCGCGTTCTTCTTCGTGGGTTTCCCGTCCGGCATCGCGCTAAGATGCACGAACGCTGGGACTTGGGCGTCGGATGTCATGTCGATCGGCCGATGCTCGCCGTGCGAGAGCCGAATCGAGGACGACCAGAGCAGCCAGACGCGGTCGTCGGCGTCCGTCTT